TTTTAATTTTTTCCCGAATACCCTAATTTCACGCGTACAAGGCGCGGTCCTAGCTTTCATCGACTAGCCCGAACACGGCAAAGGACTTCGCAACCAAAGGAACCCCATACCGTGCTGCGTCTTGCCTGACGAATTGTGCGGCATAAGGATCGCTTCTTAAAACGCGTTGGGGCGGCTGAGCAGCTCGATAAAAGCTAGGACCACCCCGCGCCTTGTACGCGTGAAATTAGGGTAATTTAACGAAAGCGGGATCCGCTCCAGTTACTGATGGAAGCCTGTTGATCGCACAGCTGTACCAAATCTCAGACCAATTCGTTGAGAAGCAGATGAACTTTGGTGTTAACCAATATTGGGCTACACTACGTTGAAGGAATTGTTTATGCGGGAAACAATCCAGTGGAATATAGATTTGGCGAGGTGATCCAGAAGTGAGCATCAAGGTCTATTTATGCCACTATTTTGGGCGTGGCAACTTAGATGCTTCCTTTTGGCAAACAATAGTATCATACAGCCTATCGCTCGAAAAGTATTGGTGCTTACATGAAAGTAGGCCGCCAAGTGTGCTATCAAGCAGCAATGGGGGGTGACTTTGGCGGCTTAAGTGTTCCACGCTAGGAAGGTTTGTCAACGACAAGAAAATATACAATATAAGAATAATGGTCGATAATCATTCTATCATTATCGACAGTGGGGGGCCAGCCGAAAAGCGCTAGAACGCGTTATGTGGTAAGGATGGCGAGTAGATTAGGGAAATTGTAAATGATATACTGTGAAGGACAACAATAAAAACTAGAATTTTTATTGCGACTTTGAGGTGCAATAAAATGCAAAAAATACGAATCAATTATTGAGAAAGCACACACAATACAATGAGGAAAATCTAGAAAAACAATAACAACTACAACAAATTATTTTGGCATCTCATGTATCGCGTGACATGTCTTACAGATTCCCTTCTTCTTATAAATGCGATGTACGCGGGAGGGGTTCATCTTGCGCTTGTTGAGGCATTGCGCCGCTTGGTGGCCCTTGACTTAGCATATATCGCAATACTCTGTCGGAGGGACCTCGGGACAACCATTCGGCTTTGGCATGGGCGGAAATGGCTGCTGGTCCTTCATTTGCTGATTTTTCTCAATCCTATCCAGCTGTGTTTTCATTACACGTACCGCATCTTCTAAGCGATTCAGACGTCTTTCCGCGGACGTGGTTTTGTCCATGATTGCATGGAACATGTCAACCACGTCCTTGGTGGAGATGCAGCCGGGTTCCGTAGTGGACGAGAGGGGCCGAAGAGTAATTTTCGGCTTAGGCACTACTCCTGGAAGTACACTAATTTTTGGAATCTTGAAAGGTTGCTCGCCTTCGTTGTCTTCTTCCTTCCTCATTCGATTCTTTTTGCCAACGCGAGTCTTCTTTGGGTTGATTGGCGAAATTGATCAGGTGTTGGAGCGATGGGAGTTTCGACTTCGAGGGAAGAGTAATTGGCTGCATTCCACAGTCGTTCTTCTGCGGTGATCGACAGATCGAGAAGGCCTTCTTCTGGACGGAGGTGAACGACATGTTAGTTGAGGAAGGGAATATCGTTATGATGGTGATTGCCGGACATTGGGTTATATATATATATGTGATATGATGACCTTTCGTTTAGTTGTTGTAAAGCTTCTTCAGGTGTGGGTTGATATGATATCAGAGTAGGATTCACGACCAGGTCGCGCATTATGGCGGGCTATAATGACCTGGTCATAATTGTATGTGCAGTAAGTGATATGATGACGATATGTAGGCAGTATGTACATATGATACAGAAGTGCGTTCGTCGAGTTTAAGCAGGTAGCAATTTCTTGAGAGCAATTGGGCCGCAGATTATGGTGATGATGACGGCCATGGATACCAGTGCTACTGCTAGCAGTGAGGTCTTCCAGCATTGTGCGAATACTTGAGCGATGTTGTTTAGGTCCGTGATGTTTATAAGATCCACATAGTTAACGCTTTCTGTATGTGAGACATCAGCATGATCCTTCCACAACGAGTGATATTGCAGTGTGCCAGTGATAGGCATATCATGTATTGAGCCACACCGAGCAGAGCATTGTGCAGCGTAGTTGGCAGTTATAGAGTTGATCACAACTGTAGTGTTTGTTTTCTATGGTCCACAATCTATGGTGTAGTGATGGCAAGTGGTACCCAAGGCGACTGCTGTCGCAGCCAGCGTCAGAGCTGCCGGCAAAGCCGCTGCAGATGGTACAGTGATTACACTCGTCGTCTAGAATACCTGCCGAGAGGTTCTTTCGCACCTCGCCGCTCTGAGGTGCGATATCAGCCTTAGGAAAGCGTGATATGCTCGATATCTATATTATTTTGAAAGCAGAAAATTCATGTTTTTGAAAACATGCAAATAAACAAAGGTAAACGGAGAAGGTTTTCTAAAGGAAGATGACCACAAAATCAAACCACTTTGAAAACTCAAAGGAAGAGTAAAAAATTTAGGAAATCTTAGATTTCTAGCGATTTTTTTCTCGTACGTCGAAGAACGGACGAAAACAGTTACACGAAAAGTCATGGATATAACGGTAAGAAAACTTTGTCAAAATGATCATTTCATATATAATGATATTAAGCGAGCTAAATAAGGCAAAGTAGGTCAATCAAATTGAGTAGGTCAATGATAAAAGATGAAAATATGTCACATCTACTGATATAGAAGGGAAAGTAAATCATCAAGAAACATGTAATATTTTAATCTACACAGTTCACTTTTCCAGAGATTTTGAGAAAATAAAAAAATAATAATGAAAAAAGTGCAACTCGTTGCAAGATAATAAAAGTTCAAAATTAAAAAAAAACCACCGGTAACCTTTCAAAAGCGCATTTCGAATTCGAGGTGTTCATGGAAAAGTGAATATAATTTCTAAGAATTCTTTATTGGAAAGTTAAGGATCGTTAGAACTATAGCGTCAATGGACTATTATTGTACGTTGATTTTAAAATTTGTAACTAAAAAACTGTTTGATTTCCTATTTATTCATTTTTGCAATAGTTCGTGATATGAATACTCTCCGGTGTATTTTTGTACTCGACTGCTTGGTTTTCAATAAAATATGGCATCTCTTGCTGTTCAAAATGATATAGATATCGAGGATATCACGCTATCATTGACCTACTCAATTTGGTTGTCCTACTTTGCCTTATTTAGCTCGCTTAGCATCACTGTGTATAAAGTAATCGTTTTAAGAGAGAAATAATTTTGAAATTTAAAGATTTCTAAAATTTTCAGCTTCTGTTTCCTTTGATTTGAAGTGATTTGATTTTGTGATCTCATTCAGAAAAACCATCTTCTTTTGCCTTTGTTTATTTGCATGTTTACCAAAAAATAAATTTTCTTCTGTCTGAAATGATATAGATATCAAGGATATCATGCTTACCTGAGGCTGATATCGCACATCAGAGCGACGAGATGCGAGAAAACCTCTCGGCAGGAGTTTCAGACGACAAGCGTAATTACTGTAACATCTACAGCGGTTTTGTCAGCAGCTCTGGCGGCTGGCTGCGGCAGCAGTCGGCTGCCCGGGCACCACATGCACGCATCCCCTTCTAGTATCGCATTGATTTTGGAGGTGCAAGTAAAGACGGCTTTTGCTCCTTGAAGACAGTTGTAGCATCCTTTCGCTTGCGTTACCTGGACATCGCAGCTAGTGGGAACGATGACTGTAGCTGTTTTCCATTGCGCAATCGTTGCTATGGAAATTTCAGCAAGGGATGCATGACTCAGCATGGTTACTGAGCCCAAATCAGCTACCAGAGAAAATTCCGAGTTGAGTATTGGTAAGCGAGTGTCCAGGGGTGACATTCTTTCAGTAATGTTGATATTTTCACAGCGACACAAAACTGTTGTGGTTTTGGATGTGCATTTGCAAGTGTCCATAACTCGGCATTTCGTCAGATTCTTTGCCGTTACTGAAGAGTTGCACTTAACCGAGAAGATGTCATCAGGTAAGGATGTTATTGTAGCCGGATCGCTTTGGTTGTATACTTGAAAAAATCGCCTGTCCAGTATAGAAATTGTGGGAGCGGTAATGAAACGAGTATGAAGTTCATCCTATCAAATTGTACAGTTTCTTGTGGCGAGAAATCCATTTCCTTTGTAATCTCTCTTCCAGTATCGAAACTCAAATGTGCGCATAGTCGTGCAGTTTTGTTCCATACTGGACATGAAAATATTTGTATATGAGGTCGTCTTCCGGTGTGGGGTAGGTACGAGAGAAAAGACAGCCCGGCATGGATAGAAGGCAGCCGCAACCGATCCCTCCGCAGGATTCTTGGCATCGTGCAATTCCAGGAAAGTGGTAGGAACTCAGGAATGTAGGAATTTCGGCCTGTGGTGCGACACTCGTGCTGCGTGCAGCTTCCAGCACGAGCACAGCGTTTTGACGATATTGTCCTTAGTTCAGTATTTCTTGTGAAAAAGTGGGTGACAGGGATACAGTCATATATAATGCTGTCAAGCTTCAATGCATTGTCGCTATGAACTCATCCTTGTATACAATCTTCATGCAGACTTCTCGTTTGAAGTTGCTCATCGTGAACGTGTGCATTTCGACACTTCTGCATCTTGCGACTTTACTGTAACCATCACAGATCGCGTCTATGGTGTTGAGAACCTGGGTGTGCTGGCAGCAGTTTGCTGTAGCCAGAATGGACAAAACGAAGAGAAGCTTTGGGCGCGTTGACTGACCACCAGAAGTCCTTCGCTGGCGGGTGTCCATAGGTTTCCTTGACTGCATCTCCAAAGTAACGGCTAGAACTGGAGGCGTTGTATTATCCGCGGTGCGTGCCTTGTACAGGCTTCATCTTCGTTTAAGCAGAAGTATCGTGCTTGCGCCGAGATATGCGTAGGCAATAGTGAGTAATGCAATGATGTAAAGCATCCTGGTTACCACTGCAATCGTGGTTGTTGGAAAACATCGTGGATTTCCCAGAAGGAGAGGACAGAAGGTGCAATGTATGGAATTGCACACGGATTGTTCTGGGCACTTGACTTCTTCTTCTTGCTGAATGATGTTGATGATACCACGCCATCTAACGGAGTATGGGCTGGTTATTTGGTTCGGGTTATTGTTATTGGCAAGAGGTAACCGTGTAGTGGTAGTTGGCTTGGATGAATAGCCTGACAGTTCATGTAATTTATGCATACCTCGCTCTTGATGTTGTCGTCAAGGGATCTCACATCAAGAACAAAGCCAGTATCCGTGCATTTGAGTATCGTACTCTCTACAGAGGTGAGTAGTGAGCACACTGCTAGGGCTAGTAGCATGATTGGAGCCTTTGATATGGCGAGTCGCGGTCGAAGAATTGCCATGTTCTCGCTGTAGTTAACAGGCCTTTTTGCTTTCCGCGCTAAACGTGATCGTTTTGTATCGTTTTTGTAGTTCTTGGAATGGCTCACTGCATTGCAGTTGTTCGTCTTCATGTAGAATTTCCGTCACTGCGTTAGGAGAAGTGGAAGGTATCTCCAATGGAATAAGGCGATTGATAGGGCGGTGGATGTGCCTTCCGCTGCTTGTTTTAAGTATGGCGCTTCTGATTTCGCCGTCTCTGCTTGTGATCAGCTCTTGAATAAGACTCATTGGCCAGTGATTTCTAGACATTTTTAAGTCATCATCAATGAGACGATGTCTCCAATTTGAGGAAGATTGTTAGCAGACTTGTAGTTGCTTCCATACAACACATGGCGGTCGCGTAATTCCGCAAGGTACTCGCTTTTCTATCTGTCCCAAAACTTCGCTGTAAGCTTTTCAGCTCCAGAAATAGCTCTCTTTGCATCGTATTGGGTGGAAAGTTCTGGATTTGGTTGGTATGGTGGGTCTTCCTGGCTCTCGTCGTCTAGTGATGATTTCCATGCCGTGTCGTATGTTTTTGTAGATGAAGTCAACGGGACGAAGCACATCATTCACGTCATAATTTTCTCCTATGACTGTGAGTGGTCGGGAATTAACGGCGGACTCGATTTCGTAAGGTACCGTGCAAAAGATTTCTTCAGAAATTTTTCGTCGTCTTATTGTTTTGAGCAGCGTCCTCTTGACGGTTCCAATCCTTCGTTCCCATGTTCCTCCCATTCAGGGAGACGCTGGAGTTATGAAGTTCCATTGTACGTTGTGCTTTGCAAGAAATAATGAGAATTTCAGCATAGCGGAGTTTCGTTGCGTCGAAGTATGGTCTCAGTCAAGCGAAAGTTGGTGCCATTATCGCTCAGCATTCTCAATGGGACACCTCTTCTTGAAAAGAACCGCTTGAAGGCTAGGAGGAAATTTCTTGACAGATCTTTCCCTACTTCCAAGTGAACCATCCGTGTTACAGGCAGGTAAATAACACCACGTAGCGTTTTTCATCTTCATTGCTGCATTTCTGATGGTTACTGGTCTCATCAAGTTTACGCCGGTAAAGCTGAATGGTAGTGCTTTTGTGCCTCTTTCGGATGAGTGGAGCGAAGTGTGGGTACTCGTAGGGAACAATGTTGTGCTTTTGACATGTGACGCAGTTACAAATGGTCTTTTTGCAAAGGCTTGTATCTGCTGGTATCCAAAATCTTTTGCGAAGGGCGTTAATCAGTTGATTAGTGCCACAATGGAACAGAGTTTTGTGTAGATCCTCTGCTCTTCTGGTGTCTAATGGTCCTTTTCGGGGAAGGTATATAGGATTCACTGTGTCGTAGTCCAACTCTGAGTTTTGTAAACGGCCGAATTTTATAGCGCGTCCTTGTGCATCGTTTTTTACGTTCTCATTTTTGCAGCTCTTCATCATCGATTGCAAGTTAGACTGCCGTTATTCTTCTTAAAGTAGATGGCGCTCTGCTACGATCATCTCTTGAGCATTTGGGATATCATCAAATGTTTCACATTCTTTAGCAAGTGGATAGAATCTGCCTTTGCTAGTCTTCCGTATGAATCGCAAGGAGTAAGCAACGATTCGTTTCAGCTTGTCGTAACTGCATATACGCTCAATAGGCCAAGTTCTCGGCTTCTTATTTTCCGGAATAAACGGTGCTACCATCGTGCTGAGAATTGCGAAGCAGTCTCCAATCATGCTACTAGCTAGGGCTAGTAGCATGATTGGAGCCTTTGATATGGCGAGTCGCGGTCGAAGAATTGCCATGTTCTCGCTGTAGTTAACAGGCCTTTTTGCTTTCCGCGCTAAACGTGATCGTTTTGTATCGTTTTTGTAGTTCTTGGAATGGCTCACTGCATTGCAGTTGTTCGTCTTCATGTAGAATTTCCGTCACTGCGTTAGGAGAAGTGGAAGGTATCTCCAATGGAATAAGGCGATTGATAGGGCGGTGGATGTGCCTTCCGCTGCTTGTTTTAAGTATGGCGCTTCTGATTTCGCCGTCTCTGCTTGTGATCAGCTCTTGAATAAGACTCATTGGCCAGTGATTTCTAGACATTTTTAAGTCATCATCAATGAGACGATGTCTCCAATTTGAGGAAGATTGTTAGCAGACTTGTAGTTGCTTCCATACAACACATGGCGGTCGCGTAATTCCGCAAGGTACTCGCTTTTCTATCTGTCCCAAAACTTCGCTGTAAGCTTTTCAGCTCCAGAAATAGCTCTCTTTGCATCGTATTGGGTGGAAAGTTCTGGATTTGGTTGGTATGGTGGGTCTTCCTGGCTCTCGTCGTCTAGTGATGATTTCCATGCCGTGTCGTATGTTTTTGTAGATGAAGTCAACGGGACGAAGCACATCATTCACGTCATAATTTTCTCCTATGACTGTGAGTGGTCGGGAATTAACGGCGGACTCGATTTCGTAAGGTACCGTGCAAAAGATTTCTTCAGAAATTTTTCGTCGTCTTATTGTTTTGAGCAGCGTCCTCTTGACGGTTCCAATCCTTCGTTCCCATGTTCCTCCCATTCAGGGAGACGCTGGAGTTATGAAGTTCCATTGTACGTTGTGCTTTGCAAGAAATAATGAGAATTTCAGCATAGCGGAGTTTCGTTGCGTCGAAGTATGGTCTCAGTCAAGCGAAAGTTGGTGCCATTATCGCTCAGCATTCTCAATGGGACACCTCTTCTTGAAAAGAACCGCTTGAAGGCTAGGAGGAAATTTCTTGACAGATCTTTCCCTACTTCCAAGTGAACCATCCGTGTTACAGGCAGGTAAATAACACCACGTAGCGTTTTTCATCTTCATTGCTGCATTTCTGATGGTTACTGGTCTCATCAAGTTTACGCCGGTAAAGCTGAATGGTAGTGCTTTTGTGCCTCTTTCGGATGAGTGGAGCGAAGTGTGGGTACTCGTAGGGAACAATGTTGTGCTTTTGACATGTGACGCAGTTACAAATGGTCTTTTTGCAAAGGCTTGTATCTGCTGGTATCCAAAATCTTTTGCGAAGGGCGTTAATCAGTTGATTAGTGCCACAATGGAACAGAGTTTTGTGTAGATCCTCTGCTCTTCTGGTGTCTAATGGTCCTTTTCGGGGAAGGTATATAGGATTCACTGTGTCGTAGTCCAACTCTGAGTTTTGTAAACGGCCGAATTTTATAGCGCGTCCTTGTGCATCGTTTTTTACGTTCTCATTTTTGCAGCTCTTCATCATCGATTGCAAGTTAGACTGCCGTTATTCTTCTTAAAGTAGATGGCGCTCTGCTACGATCATCTCTTGAGCATTTGGGATATCATCAAATGTTTCACATTCTTTAGCAAGTGGATAGAATCTGCCTTTGCTAGTCTTCCGTATGAATCGCAAGGAGTAAGCAACGATTCGTTTCAGCTTGTCGTAACTGCATATACGCTCAATAGGCCAAGTTCTCGGCTTCTTATTTTCCGGAATAAACGGTGCTACCATCGTGCTGAGAATTGCGAAGCAGTCTCCAATCATGCTACTAGCTAGGGCTAGTAGCATGATTGGAGCCTTTGATATGGCGAGTCGCGGTCGAAGAATTGCCATGTTCTCGCTGTAGTTAACAGGCCTTTTTGCTTTCCGCGCTAAACGTGATCGTTTTGTATCGTTTTTGTAGTTCTTGGAATGGCTCACTGCATTGCAGTTGTTCGTCTTCATGTAGAATTTCCGTCACTGCGTTAGGAGAAGTGGAAGGTATCTCCAATGGAATAAGGCGATTGATAGGGCGGTGGATGTGCCTTCCGCTGCTTGTTTTAAGTATGGCGCTTCTGATTTCGCCGTCTCTGCTTGTGATCAGCTCTTGAATAAGACTCATTGGCCAGTGATTTCTAGACATTTTTAAGTCATCATCAATGAGACGATGTCTCCAATTTGAGGAAGATTGTTAGCAGACTTGTAGTTGCTTCCATACAACACATGGCGGTCGCGTAATTCCGCAAGGTACTCGCTTTTCTATCTGTCCCAAAACTTCGCTGTAAGCTTTTCAGCTCCAGAAATAGCTCTCTTTGCATCGTATTGGGTGGAAAGTTCTGGATTTGGTTGGTATGGTGGGTCTTCCTGGCTCTCGTCGTCTAGTGATGATTTCCATGCCGTGTCGTATGTTTTTGTAGATGAAGTCAACGGGACGAAGCACATCATTCACGTCATAATTTTCTCCTATGACTGTGAGTGGTCGGGAATTAACGGCGGACTCGATTTCGTAAGGTACCGTGCAAAAGATTTCTTCAGAAATTTTTCGTCGTCTTATTGTTTTGAGCAGCGTCCTCTTGACGGTTCCAATCCTTCGTTCCCATGTTCCTCCCATTCAGGGAGACGCTGGAGTTATGAAGTTCCATTGTACGTTGTGCTTTGCAAGAAATAATGAGAATTTCAGCATAGCGGAGTTTCGTTGCGTCGAAGTATGGTCTCAGTCAAGCGAAAGTTGGTGCCATTATCGCTCAGCATTCTCAATGGGACACCTCTTCTTGAAAAGAACCGCTTGAAGGCTAGGAGGAAATTTCTTGACAGATCTTTCCCTACTTCCAAGTGAACCATCCGTGTTACAGGCAGGTAAATAACACCACGTAGCGTTTTTCATCTTCATTGCTGCATTTCTGATGGTTACTGGTCTCATCAAGTTTACGCCGGTAAAGCTGAATGGTAGTGCTTTTGTGCCTCTTTCGGATGAGTGGAGCGAAGTGTGGGTACTCGTAGGGAACAATGTTGTGCTTTTGACATGTGACGCAGTTACAAATGGTCTTTTTGCAAAGGCTTGTATCTGCTGGTATCCAAAATCTTTTGCGAAGGGCGTTAATCAGTTGATTAGTGCCACAATGGAACAGAGTTTTGTGTAGATCCTCTGCTCTTCTGGTGTCTAATGGTCCTTTTCGGGGAAGGTATATAGGATTCACTGTGTCGTAGTCCAACTCTGAGTTTTGTAAACGGCCGAATTTTATAGCGCGTCCTTGTGCATCGTTTTTTACGTTCTCATTTTTGCAGCTCTTCATCATCGATTGCAAGTTAGACTGCCGTTATTCTTCTTAAAGTAGATGGCGCTCTGCTACGATCATCTCTTGAGCATTTGGGATATCATCAAATGTTTCACATTCTTTAGCAAGTGGATAGAATCTGCCTTTGCTAGTCTTCCGTATGAATCGCAAGGAGTAAGCAACGATTCGTTTCAGCTTGTCGTAACTGCATATACGCTCAATAGGCCAAGTTCTCGGCTTCTTATTTTCCGGAATAAACGGTGCTACCATCGTGCTGAGAATTGCGAAGCAGTCTTCTTCTTCCTCTACTTCTCTGGTTATGCATTCTATGCGGCGAGTGGGCCAATGTTGCTCGCGTCGATTGAGCCATTGTGGACCGTGGAACCATATGTGATCTAAGGCTTCCGTTCGTGAGAGGTCCCGTGTTGCATAATCGGCAACATTTTTTCAGTGGGAATATGATTAAAGTGAACATGTTGGTACTGTTCAAGACGTTCTCTAGTTAATTGTACCTTTTGCGTCAATGTGGTAACAAGAGACGGAAGTCGTTTTTTGGAGTGGATCCAAGCGAGGGCTATAGTGGAGTCGCTTAACAGATTTATCTTGTCGAACTTCAAGCCGCTCTTTGTAACAATGTATTCCAGCATATTCATACCAATGAATATGGCTAAGAATTCAAGCTTGGGGATTGTTTGGGTTTTTCCAATGGGAGATACCTTTGACTTTGCATATGTAGTCTTGTGTAATGTTGTTCTTCATCCGTTTCAGTCGTGATATAAGCTGCACAAGCATAGACTCTCTTTGAGCTATCGAACATCGAAAGTGTGCGGGTCTTGCATCCTTCTTGTTTTGTTACTCGTCTTGGTAGTGTCACGGAGAAGTTGGTCATGTTTTTCACAATTGCTCCAGATCTCACAGTCCTCTTTTAATAATTGATCGTCCCATCCTAACTTCTTCTTGTGCAAATCTTGAAGGAAGGTTTTTGCGTTGGTAAGAGAGGCGTAAGTAATCCTAGCGGATCAAAACAAAGTCCATTGATCTGGCTGAGAACGAGACGTTTGCAAGATTGTGCTTGCGTTTTCGAGGCGCAGACAAGACTTAATTGGTCGACGTTGCTGTGCCAGTGTAGTCCTAGCGCTTTCATGGCAATGGAAGCAGCTCTATCTTGCGACGGGATTTTGTTGTTCACTTCAGGACAGTTGGAAATGTAATCCCGGAAATTCATTCCAACTTTGCCGAACACGTCTTTGGATTCGAGATATATCGCGAAATCTTTGTCGGTTTTTCCTTTCAGTAACACATTGTCCACATACAGCATATCCGATATCTCTTGAAACGTATCGCTTGTGAAGGATTCAAGATGCTTTAAAAGTGCCTGATTCAGTATTGCTGGTCCAGCGTTGATTCCGAATGGTACTCGGCAAAACCTGTAGTATTTGATATACTATAGTGTGGACCCCGGCCAGCTTCCCATAGGTACCTCCGCGGCGCACCCGCAGTGCGTGCATTTCTTAATGCTTCTCACCTCACTTATGGACGATAGAGCATACCTACGCACCATAGGAGAGAATTGAGAAGTGGAAACCCGTAAATTTACTTCGAAAGGAACGTATGCAAGAATAAAACGCACGCAACCTCCATTAGTACCTCAAATTCAATTAATGGCTGCAAATTTCAGACTCGCACCGATGGAAAAGCGGTGAAAAGTAAAGTTAAAGTAGAAAAAGAACAATAGAATTTCTCAAAACGTTTTTCTTAGTAAACTTAGAAACCAGAATGGTAAAATAACTCAAAAAATGTGTATATTTCCGTAAACAAATCCCTACCGGTTTCTCGAAAGGTTTCTCTTTCTCTCGTTTCTCAATTTGTCTTGATACACTGTCTACACAGTAAAAATCAAGCCGAAAGGGACTCTTATTTAATACAAAAAGCTTTTGGAGGAATATTTTCTTAGAATACACCTCATCTCTCGGGGAAAAAAAGGAAAAACACAACACTAATACTCAAGACCGAAGCTCTCAGGCCTAATAGAACACGTAAAACTTCGTCACTGGTTATGCGATTGGTTTATACCTGAAATAGAGGGAATATATTAGGTTGTCCTGAAAGTTTTGTCGGTTTCTCATCGCGCACTAAGACCCACAGAACACCAATCCATGGACGATCTAGGTATTATTTAATTCATATTTTTATCCTCTTCCTTACAGCTATATTTGCTGTCTGATCTACTCCGTCTTTGCGATGTTATCGTCACGGCTTTTCGAGCAGCTTTACAGTATTGTCAAACCCTTTCTGAATTTTGAAAATTTTTATTTTGGTATTTCTAAAGAGCGCTGGTGACTGTTATGTAGAGCAAACCTTTGGCTACATCGTTATATTTTGGATACTGGCCTCTCCTCTCGCCACCACTGAGCGCCGTTATATTTTCGCATTCCTTTTTCTGGATTCCTTCAGCAACTGGACCTCCGTCACGCATGAGGTTAAGGATAGCAGGGACGCAGAAAACTCTGCCGTAGCGCTTGGAAGGATCCAGCGCATATTATAGTAAGGATTACATGGAGCGCGTTTAACAAGTCCGTAATGATAATTTACAGGGTGTCCCAGAACATGAACACTGTTTGATCGTCAATAACTCTGTTGCTTTCATGTCTTTCGCCGAGCTTGAGGCACCATTCTGTAGAGCGGGGTTCAACTTAGATTTGTAGTATGGAGCGAATCGTCGATATCTCTTCATTACTGTAGGATTACGGTAAGAATTTCTAGCATGTAGATCCAGTGTGAAATATGCCATTTAACAAATTTTTTACAAAAAACCTGAAAAATCGTGTACTAGGGTTTTCGTGCATGCTGATTCCACTACACAACTTTTTACAAGTGGTTTGAGCTTTTTTGACGGTGTAATCACACTTCTGACAAATGCTGGAAATTCAGTCATTACGGTTTACCTGGGATAACCTTGGGAAGCATCACAGCGAAGTGAAATTTTCATACTTGAAATCAGCGGCTTATATTATCGTAGTATAAAAGTTTTTGGCTTGTTTGGTTTTGTTCCGAGGAGAATATGGCCTTCAACGGCCTAAAGTCCTTGTCGAAGTTCCTACCGTAGTCCTACAGTAATGTAGAGATATCGACGACTCGCTCCATACTGTAGATCTGAGTCAAACCTCGCTCTATAGAATGGTGCCTCCAGCTCGGCGAAAGACATGGAAGCAAGAGAGTTATTAACAATCAAACAGTGTTCACATTTTTTTGGGACATCCTGTATTTAAGAAAAACCAAGGCATTTTGATTACGTGTAACACTTAAAAGTACCGAAAACTCCAAAAAGTGTTTTCAAAGCAGATCAGACTTGGATAGGTTGCATAAATAATGTTCATTAACAAACAAGTACCAATTCGCAAAAACTCTGAAAGCTTCCCTGTTTTTGCTGCAGTTGCGTGTTTCATGACTTTGCCAAAATCGAGACCTTAGAAGAAATGATTTTTTTAAGCTAAAAACAGCAGATTGGGAGAATCTAAAAACACTACCATTAATCTGAGAATTGCTTTATCTGTTCCGTACTTAAACGTTTCCGAAATTTTGAAATGAATTTGTGAAAATTAGCCAAACTTTGAGCAGATAAAACCAAACTTTGAGTAGATAAAAATGACGGGTGAAAAATTTTAAAAGTTATCAAAAAACGAATGCAGGATTATGGTTAGAAAATGTAACATTTAGAAAGAGAAGGAAAGGCTGCATCGAATGCATGTTGAAACTCCTTCAGATCTTTATTGTGTGTGGTTTTATAGCGATTTGAAAAAACCGACAAAACTTTCGGGGCAACCTAATAGTAAAACAAAAACAAGAAAATGAGAGAAAAGCAAGAAATTCCATCGACAGGAGGCGCGCTGAAGGCGTGCGTTGCGGATGCGTCGCGCAGGTACCTATGGGAAGCTGACCGGGGTCCACACTATATATTTTTCCATGAATTGTAGAACGGCTTCTTCATCGCTGTCTTTGTTGACTTCTATGCTGAGGGATTTTAGTTCATACAGATTCTTAATGTCTTGCTTGTATTCCTCCTTAGCGTTGTTGATTACAGGGGTCGCGACGAGAATCGTATTGGAATGAATGGAAGTGTCGGTTCCGTTGATTGAACTTTTTCCAGAGATTGCATAGCCAAATACCGTGAGTATGAGAATCAGACCCGATGGTTTATTGCTTGTCCGCTTATGGAATTCTTTAGCATGAGTGAAACTTCGTCAGAATTGAAAGTTTCGGCTTTTCCTCCAAATCCGCGAACAGTGAAGTCCGACGTCCCGATTACGGGGAGTTGCAGATCGACGCTTTTCTCGGTTGTGATGAACCTTTTCTGTGCAAATGTATCGAAGAATATTGCGACAGTCTCGTAGTCCATTGTATTGGAGTTGAACGTTAAAGCTGTCGCTGTCATCAGTGCGTATTGTTTCTTCTCCGTTTCGGGGCGGCAGATAATTTCAGCGTTTTATGAGGTTTTTTTTCTACCTGGTCGTTTTATGTCATTGAATCGCGGCTGTGTCGCAAAAGTGGTCGGCCATGCAGAGTGCAGAATGGTGATCCTTGCTGCATTTAGGGCAAGGTCCTAGTGTCTTACACTTACTCGCTTGAGAGATGGCCTTGATCGAAACACTTCCAGCACACTTTTCGCTTAGCTGCTTCACTTCGACGTACATCTGGAGTCCGTAGACTCGGACATTGTGAGACAGAGTGAGTGGGACTTCCACAGAGGCAACGAGATTGTGTTTCATGTTTTGCATGTATCCTACTCGATTGCTCAAATCGCTGAGATCGCTTCTGCATTTCCTTGTTGAAATTCGGACGGTTGCTTTGGCTGAAGGTTACACGTTCTTGGAATGTGTCCGTTAAAAGGGCAATTGTTTCCTTGAGAGCTACCGCACTTTCCAGGATCTCTAGTATTTCCTCGGTAGAAACGGTTTGTCTTCATTTGGCTCTTTGCTGAACAGCTTTTCGCTCAGTGATGTTGGGAATTTTGAAAGTATCAATCGTCTCCACATTCGCCCGTGGTCCAAGGTGACTCCCGCACACTCAATGCGAGTGAGTTTCTCAGTCACATCGGTTAACATTTTTCGGCAGCTTGGCATCTTCCTTTGCTCGCGGAAGTTGTTCGAGCTCTGTGATGAGAAGGTCAGCTATGCATCCGGAGTTGGTGTATCTCTTGTCGAGGAGTTTTACAGCTTTGTCGTAATTCTCCCTATCACAGGAATGTTGCCAAGCATAGAAGCAGCAGATCCTTTTAGTGCTTGCCTCAAAAATAGGAACTTATCAGTGTCGGTAAGCTGTGTGTTGCTGTGGATAAGCAAATTGAAGATCGTCCAAAACATCGGGTAGTCTTTGTAGCTTCCACCAAACGTTGGAACTTCAAGCACTGGTAATCGGACTTTGTTTTCAGTAATTTGTCTTGTGGATAGACAACTATCCATGTCCGTGTCCGATACTGATGTACTGATGTTCGCGTCGAGGACGATGCTAAAGCGTGAATCAGGCTTGACTGTTTTTCCACTTCCCTCGTCCGTTATTTCGACTTATTTAAAGGCACCGTCCACTTAAAGCGAGGTTGATGAGATTTCGGTGGCATACTAGTGTGGGCCCCCACACTAGGCAAACCCTCAAGTAGCGCCGCAAAATACTCTTCCGAAGCGAGAAATCCGCTCCGGAAGGGACGTAACCGGAGGTGGTCACTCCGCCCACTTTGCAGGCGCACCGCTGGAGATACTACACGCACAGCGCTGTACGCTGCCTCGTCGTAGGCGACTAATGGGAGTTTTTCTAGTGATATTTCGTGTACTTGTATTCTCAACCGTCCGTTTTTTATTCAGTCATGACCAAATTTACGACAAAGTTGTTTTTCCGATTATAGCCATCATCAGCATCCGGCATAGCTGTTTTTTTTATACGAACATGGCATAGCTGCTTTTCTTAATATGAACTTTCTTTATAGGTGACGCTTGTGCTCAATCAATGAAACAAGATGAACGCGAAGAGAACGTGAGTTTTTCTTTCATTGCAATGTACATCGAATTCAAAAACTATTTGTATCATTCATTCTGTGACCAGGAGACGCAAGCCCGCATTGCACACTTTGTCTAAACAAGCCTGGTCGTGTATTTAGCAGCGGTTTATACTTGTTATATACTCATCCAGGTTTATTCAATCCTCGGAAACACGGAAGAACAAACTCAAACTTGTTGACAATGTCCGCAATGCGATTTCGCGTCTCTTAGTCGTAGAACAGATGATAGTCAAAGTCGTTTTCGCCGTTGCTACATGACTAATGGATCATTGCAAAAAACTTTCACGCATTTCTGTGCGGCTGACTTGCTATTGCTGTGCGCTGATCTTGACGTGTTATCAAATTCACCTGTATCACCTGTATCCCCGTTGATCATCGTGTTGCACGAGCGGGTACTAGTGATGCCTCCATTCGTCCCTGTCTCGGGCGATTGTTGACCAATGTTTACGTATCGCACCAGGAACACGTGGAACGCTCTGAAGGACTTCATTAGAGAACTTCGTGAACATATCTGACCATCGCGTCGGCGGTCTTCCTCGTTCGCGTTTGACGTCCAGTGGTATCCAATCTGTTACAGCTCTCGTCCACCGGTTGTCATCGAAACGCATTACGTGCCCGGCCCATCTCATCTTGTTCTGCTTGGCGTACGCGGCAGCGTCCCTGATCTTCGATCGTTGACGTAGGGTAGAACTTCGTAATCCTTGCCTCACTTGCGTGAGTCGATTCACTCCTAGCATCACTCTCTCAACAGCTCGTTCGATGACGCTAACCGCGTGTTCATCCTGCTTTCTCATTGTCCATGTTTCAGAAGCGTACGTCAAAGCAGGAAGAACCGTCGAGTTGAAAAGGTGGGCGCGGAGCCGGATGTTCTTGGTCTTCAAATTATTTGATGGAAATGTTTTGCAGACAAGTGAATCCTCATCAGTTAGCCCACCCGACAAAAAGTGCAGGCATACAATAATGGCTCTCAGTGCAGGCATACAATGATGATAATCTTGATGTAAACATGAGCTTTCTTTATGGACGACGCTTGTGGTCAATAAAACGAGATAAACATGCGACGTGAGTTTTTTCATTGCAATGTACATCAAATTGAAAAACTATTTGTAGTCAAAATGATCGTTGACGCCGTCTACATGACTAATGGATCATTGCAATAAACTGTCACGCATTTCTGTGCAGCTGACTTGCTATTGCTGTAGTACGTTGATTTCTTGACGTGTTATTAAAATGGAATCGTTTTGCAGACAAGTGAATTCTCATCAGCTTGGCCCACGCGACAAAAAGTGCAGGCATGCAGTGATGACTTTCATCGTATAAACTATTGACTGCGTATTTGTTAACGTAGCTTCAGGAAAGACATTATCGACTTAGTTCCCGATGCGATGCCATATCTTTTAGATCTGCTTCAGAACGCGGCAGGAAAAAGGGAAATTCTCAATCCAGCTTCTTCTTCTTGCACTGAAGTCCGGGTTTTCGTTTCTTCATAGCAATTTTCACTACCTTTCTGAAAATTCTTGGTACGTAGATCGATCAAAATACTTACAGACACCATCAATACTAGCAAGAAGAAAATGAAATTGAACGGAAGACTCCCATCCAACACCTCTGGCGCAAAGAAATTTGGATAGAATTCCTAACAAACTACATACAACGACCTGCTGATGAGGAGCAAACCACTGATGAGGAGCTATCCACCGATGAGGAGCAATTCACAGATGAGGAGCAACCCGCTGATGAGGAGCAGATGGATTATGAGGAGATAGAATAGATCACGACTACAGTAGTTGATTTAGATTCTGTACCGTACTTGTGAAGTAACATGTGTATATGTAACTAGAATAACGTGAAAAACAGAAAAAAAAAGAAAAAACACAATATGTAGGGAACATAGAAAAAACAATAACCACGTAAAAAAGGAGAAAAAAGGAGAACGAGGACACACCTGATTTTGGGATTGTTCTAAGGGCTAAAGGCCGCTGCAGGAATTTTGGAAGTGCCTGTTTCATATGTAGCATTGCTGTTGACCATGGAGATGACAAAAATACTCCTCCAAGAAGACATTCGATATGTTTGCTGTCCATACCTGTAATAGCTGCATTACCAGATCGAATGGGTCAAAGAAGAAAAAACACACTTTCAGCCTTACTCACTCACCAATAATACTTCGTAGGGAACGGCCATAGGTTGCTGGCAACGGTTCCAATTGCCAACGTTGTCGGGGTCAGAGAGACGGGTTAGAGAGCACGCAAAAGGTGGAGGCTATCATGAGGCCACAACGACCGGCAACGACGGTAACCTCAGCAACCTCAGCAACCTAGCAACTTCGGCATGCCGGCAACCTCGGCAACCGTTGCCGGCAACCTATGGCCGTTTGCTTAGACGGCCCTAACACATTTGAGATAACTGGCAAAACTATTCAATGTCGAGGTCAAAAATATGCTAGAATATCTGCTAAGCACGTTATCATACGCTTTATTGTAAATTCAGAAACAGGATGAATTCATAATGTCCTGGAGAAAATGAAAGCAGGATAACCTCCACTCACCCCTTTTATGTTGTTGGCGATGTTGAAACGAATTCGCTATACTGGATTCTCTTGCACCAGCCCTTGGAGTACTTTGACCTCGCAAATTATTGATTTGACCTTGCAATAAACGCAAATCCTTGACATATTTTGCAAACCTGTAAAAGCGATCATTAGAAACTTCACTTTTCAACTTCACAATTCTCACTTTTGTCACTGACTGCCACGAACGAGAGCGATAAGCCTGAATAACTTCCAAACATGATAAGCATTGATTTTGAAGTCACTAAATGTTAGAAGAACAGAGCGCTGCTGGAGTCAACAAAGCCCGTCTGAAATAACATGCGCCAGTCAAGAACATCCAGCAGTGCGATATATCTGTTTCTTGATCAGGCAACTGCAAAAAAAAGATAAGTTGTAGCTCGTCTGACGACACTGCAATAAACCGAAGACGTAAAATGTGAAAACTAACGACCATCACTAATACAATAAACAAAAAAAGAGTAGGATATCCAAAACGCAGAGTACAGAGCCCTACTACGAAGAATGTGCTAAATACACGGAACCTGGAGAAGACTGGGGCAAACATTTTCTAATACTCCTAATCGATTGCACAATTGCCCATGACTAGTTTGCAAATGACGCCCTGCGTATATCAGCGCGCCTGCAAAGTGGGCGGAGTGACCACTTCCGGTTACGTCCCTTCCGGAGCGGATTTCTCGCTTCGGAAGGAGTATTTTGCGGCGCTACTTGAGGCTTGCCTAGTGTGGGGGCCCACACTAGTATGTCACCGCAATCTCATCGACCTCGCTTTGAAAGGACGGTGCCTTCAACCAGTTGATAGCTTCCATTTGCACTCTTTGCCCCAGTAGAAAGAAATGCATCAAGATCGTTCATAAGTCTTTCTCTTTCTGATTGGTCCTTTCTTTGTACGAGAAAGTTCATAGCTTTTTGGATTTGTGCTTCCAGGTATTCCGAGAAGCCTTTTAAGGAGATTTCTGCTTCTTTAATTTCGGCCATTTTATCCATGACGAAGGCATTGCATTCGGATGCTGTTGCTGGAAAGTTGAAGGCTTAATCTATCTCCCTGATTTTTTCCTGGAGGCTGCTAACTGAAAAGTAAGTCACTGAGATGCGTGTTTCAAATTTTGCAAGCTCAGTCATTGTTTGTCTGGTGCGCATGAACTTCTATCGCGGCTCTCGTTGGCTGCGTGCTTTGGCACTCACTCAGACAATCGCCGGGGGCAGGCGAGCACCGGAAAAATAGATTGCTGATCTCTCGCACCCCGCGCGCGGATTTTTTGGAAAGCAATCAGGACTTTTCGGAAGAGCGCTTGCTGAGTCAGCGGATTTTTGAGAGACCGCCTGTTGAATTTTTTTTCGCTCTTATCTTTTGCAGATATATTGCTGAATCTCTGAGGAATCGAGAACTCAGCAAGTGGCCTTCCGAAAAGTCCTGATTGCTTTCCAAAAAATCCGCGAGCGGGGTGCGAGAGATCAGCAATCTATTTTTCCGGTGCCCGCCTGCCCCCGGCGATTGTCTGAGCAGGTGTTTGTTTGTAGAAAAGTTCTGGATGGGTACTTAGTACGCGCAGCTGTCGAGGAGGTGGAGAGATTGGCTGGGCCTGAACCTCTTTGATACGTTTTCTTGCTTGGTGCAAGAAACTAATCACTAGTAAGCTAGCAGTGGAGCGCTCAGCTTTTTCTAGTTGGTTAGCAAGCGTGCCGATGGGCTTGAACGCTGTGCTGACTGGTCAGGTTTGGATCCTGCCCAGTGCGAGTTTGAGGAGACCTTGTAGTTTAATAGTTTTTAAGTGAAGTATTAAAAATGGACCAACTGTTTTTTCTCTACTAACTTCTGGTCGTCTTACTAGAAGAGATCAGAAGAGTTCAATATTCAGTGGTAAGGTCTTCAGCTGGAGCTTTTACTAATTTCTGGTCGTCTTACGAAAAAAGAGCTCAAAAAGGTTCAGTTAACCAGTGGTCTCCTTAACTGACGCTTTTACTACCTTCTGGTCTTCTCACGTAAAGAGAGCAGAGAACGGTTCAGTTAATTAGTGATTTTCTGCCAACTAACGCTTTTACTACTTTCTGGTCGTCTTATGAAAAGAGAGCTTGGTAGAGTTCAATTGATTAGTGAAGAAGTCTGCCAGCGGGACTTTATCAGCTTTCTGGGTAGCAAACGCCAGAAAGTTAACCATAGGCCGAATGCACCAATTTGGTGTTTGCCACTACGTTGAAGGAATTGTTTATGCGGGAAACAATCCAGTGGATAATAGACTTGGCGAGGCGATCCACAAGTGAGCATCTAGGTCTATTTACGCCACTATTTTGGGCGTGGCAACTTAGATGCTTCCTTTTGGCAAACAATAGTATCATACAGCTATCGCTCGAAAATTATTGGTGTGCTATCAAGCAGCAATGGGACCTTGGTGGCTTAAGTGTTCCAGCTAGGAAGGTTTGTCAACGACAAGAAAATATACAATATAACAATAATGGTCGATAATCATTTTATTATTATCGACATCAACTACGGCAGTTTTTTATAGTGAATCTAAAGGGCTAGCACTGTATCGAACGGGAAGCCACTATCTCCCAACTGGACTTCTCCTTAGAATGTATAATTTTTTTGTTCTTCATTAATTTTGCAGAATCATGGAAAGTGAGAGAAGGAAAAATGTTCCAATTTTATAGACGGTTATCTAAGGATTAGCGGACTTCCTAATTTGACATATGTACACTGGGATCCAAGAGAATCTAAAAGAGAGGAGCTAGAAACCGTATCGTTTTTTTACATGTATGCCCACCCCTTCTATGGTTTAGCTTTTCAAGTCACAAAGTTATGACTACATCACAAAATGATTTGTAATGATAAATCTATAGTAGATCGAATCTGTTGCGTTTCATTGCGTTTCCATATGCTTTCTCAAAGTCCTTTGTAAGCGATTTTCTCATATAGCGTATAGCATTGTATAGCATTGCGTCATGAGTCATGTACTCGGTATCAATTCGCTTTGGTGTTTCCCGCGCCGCATTGGTTTGGTGCGCACGCTTTGCATGGCCCATGCACGACGGGGAGTTCACACCTGGCGCTTGCCAGACGTCATCAGCTGATTTGGCAGCCATCATATCGTTTTTGGCTGGTTCTTTTATTCGCTTTTATTTCCAGGCTTTTCCGTTGAAAAAGTGATGGGCCGGCGATTGATTATGTACCATCGGCTTTTAGCTTTAACAGGAAGTCCGAAAACAAACTAACAGTGAAAATTGATTCTGAATGTCCACTGATTTGACTGTTTCTCTTGCTCTTTTTCTTTGCCAGGCACCAGCTGATATTGCTTGCTTGAATATGAAATGTATCTTTACTCGATAATTTGCAAAAAGCTGAAGTGGTTTCAGCTTTTACAGGAAGCCCGAAAATAGACCAATAGTGAAAATTTACTCTCCGCAATCCTCAATTTACTTCAAAAGCGCATATACATCTGTTTGATTGGGGCCGGCCCATCACTTTTCCAATGAATCCTGGAAAGAAAAGCAAAAATAAAAGAACTAGTCAAAACTGATATGATGGGCTGCGAAATCAGCTGATGACGTCTAGCAAAGCGCCAGGTGTGAACGCCCTGTCATGCGTGAGCGATGCAAAACGTGCACGCCAGACCCTTGCGGCGTGGAAGACACCAAAGCGAATTGATACCGATGGTACATGACTTATAACTTAATCTAGGATGTTGTACGATGTGAGGAAATACAAATACTTACAAAAGACTTCGAGAAAGCATATGAAAAGGCAATGAAAGGCAACGGGTTGACTTTATATTTGGCTAACTAGTTTGTTCTTGCAGTGTATGACGATGTAACATAACCTTAATAAACTTAAATATCTGCAAGACTCTTAATTTGGAGCAATCAAATGCCCTATGAACCTACTTCTGTCAGCCTTATCGCTTCACTGTCACTTCCCGCTGAGAACGGTAAAAGCGAGCGGGCTACAAATATGACATAGTACTGAGCGGGACGCTAGAACTGGCTGCGGAGATGCGAGAAAATTTCACTGCATAGCGCTTTGTTTATGCTATCTAAATGCTATCAAAGCTTTTCCAAATTATGAAGATTCTGAAAAATCGCCAAATTTGGGTATGGTAAAACCATGGATTTGAAATTTTGGCAATTACCTCAGAAACTACCAAAGCAAACGGTCCCAAAACATGACGTTGCGGAAACCCAAGAATTCAACAAAAGTTTGCGACTTTTTCGGAATCCTGCTTCATTCCAGGAATTTCGCGAAATCACGAGAATTCCGCGGAAAATGGGGATCGCAAAGTACGCAGCATCATAACCTCCTTCGGAATGAATATATTCTTCTCGGAAACAACATTGTATTCAGCTCGTCAAGGCAAATCTTTAGATCTACAGCATGCCCTTGATACTCCAATTTTAGGCCCGTATGCACGTACATCCCCGCTGGGGAGGGGAGGGGAGCTGGATCCCCAGGGGAACGATCCCCTCCTCTGAACCCCGCTATGACAGAAGGGAAGGGAGCGATCCCTCCCCTGCACCTACAGCGGGGATGGCGTGATTGCGGTAGCCGCTTCTAATTTGCGGCTACTACAAAACCTCGTCAAAAAAGTTATTTTGTCAATTTTTGTACACCTGAATGGCTTTTGGAGCAAAGTGTACAAGAATACTGATTACGCGTGCTCTTGCCCCTTTCTCACCCCTTTTCAACCATCCCTCCCATTGTATCTCTCTCCTCCGCTCTCTTTTTCTTCTTCCATATTACTGGTTCAAAAGTTATGTGTTATTAGTAGTAATGATATTGACTTTTGAAGTAATGTGACTCGGTTTGCAGTTCATATTTAGATTTCCTCGCAATCACGTTATGTACTTCTCCTACAAAAAAAATTGTGTGCAGCTTTTTGTAGTTTTTGTGGTTTTTTCCGGCATTTACCAGTTATCCCTTTGCGGTACTCTTTCGCTGCCTCAAATTCGGTATCAAATTTCAGAAGTATCGATTGGACGAGTCCCGGGGCCCGGTGGGACCCCTTCCCTTCCCGTGTGCACGTATGTAGCTCGATAACGCGAGGGAGGGGATCGACATCTCCTACGAAGGAGTAGGGGTTCGATGGTGTAGATCATGCCAGAAAACCGAATATTCTGGTTTCATTCGGTTGTTACAAAGCATTTCGCTCAATTCGATGAAAGATTTTCTTCGAAAGCCGGGTTCCTCTCTCAGCGACCTGTAGCTTGCAATCTTGTCTCTCACTTCTATATTCGCCTCTTGAAAAGAAATCCGAGCATATAATAGCTGCCAATTTCGAATGTTTGTAGAAGTCTTGATCATTCGAGAAGTTTGCACATTTTCCATATGATATGATAATTTTAGCCACATAGGCTGGTTAAACACATTGTAACTATCATATTATATGAGATGTTGCCTTTATCATGTTAACTCAACATAAGCTGCCTCGAAAAAATCTAGAA